TCCATTTGCTTGTTAAGTCTTCCTCCATCCCTTTATTTTGAGCCTTTGTGTATCCTTGCATTTGAAATGGGTTTCCTGGATCCAGCACACCAATGGGTTTTAGCTTTTTATCCAAATTGCCAGTCGGTGTCTTTTGTTTGGGACGTTTAGCCCATTTACATTTAGGGTTAACATTGTTATGCATGAATTTGATCATGCCATTTTGATGCTAGCTGGCTGTTTTGCCCGTTAGTTGATGCAGTTTCTTCTTTGTGTTCATTCTCTTTACCATTTGTTATGTTTTTGGAGTGGCTGGTACTGGTTTTTCCTTTCTATGTTTCGTGCTTCTATCAGGAGCTCTTGTAAAGCCGGCCTGGTGGTGATGAAATCTCTAAGTACTTGCTTGTTCACAAAGGATTTTATTTTTCCTTCACTTATGAAACTTAGTTTGGCTGGATATGAAATTCTGGGTTGAAAGTTCTTTCCTTTAAGGATGTTGAATATTAGCCCCCACACTCTTCTGCCTTGTAGGGTTTCTGCTGAGAGATCAGCTGTGAGTCTGATCGGCTTCCCTTTGTGGGTAACCCAACCTTTCTCTCTGGCTGCCCTTAGCATTTTCTCCTTCATTTCAACCCTGGTGAATCTGATGATTATATGCCTTGGGGTTGCTCTTCTTGAGGAATATCTTTGTGGTGGTCTCTGTATTTCCTGGATTTGAATATTGGCCTGCCTTGCTAGGTTGGGAAGTTTTCCTGGATGATATCCTGAAGAGTATTTTCCAGCTTGGATTCATTCTCTCCGTCACATTCAGGTACACCTATCAAACGTAGATTAGGTCTTTTCACATACTCCCATATTTATTGGAGACTTCATTCATTCTTTTTTACCCTTTTTTCTCTAATCTTGCCTTCTCATTTTATTTCATTGAGTTGATCTTCGACCTCTGATATCGTTTCTTCTGCTTGGTCAATTCAGCTGTTGAAACTTGTGTATGCTTTGTGACATTCTCGTGTTGTGTTTTTCAGCTCCATCAACTCACTTATATCCTCTCAAGCTGTTTATTCTTCTTAGGATTTCGTCAAACCTTTTTTCAAGTTCTTAGTTTCTTTGCATTGGGTTAGAACATGTTCCTTTAGCTCAGAGACGTTTCTTATTACCTGCCTTCTGAGGCCTGTTTCTGTCAATTCATCACACTCATTCTCCATCCAGCCTTGTTCCCTTGCTGGTGAGGAGTTGTGATCCCTTGTAGGAGAGGTGTTCTGGTTTCGGGTGTTTTCATCCTTTTTGCACTGGTTTCTTCCCATCTTTGTGGATTTATCCACCTGTTGTCTTTGTAGATGTTGACTTTCAGATTGGGTCTCTGAGTGGATGTCCAGTTTGTTGATGATGAAGTTAATTTCTTTCTGTTTCTTAGTTTTCCTTCTAACAGTCAGGCCCCTCTGGTGTAGGACTGCTGAGGTCCACTCCAGGCTCTCCTTGCCTGGGGATCACCTGCAGCGGCTGCAGAACAGTCAGGGTTGCTGCCAGTTTCTTCTGCTGCTATCTTTGTCCCAGAAGGATACCATCCAGATATCAGTCTGACTCTCCTTTATGAGGTGACTCTTTGGATATATGGGGTGAGGGAGCTGCTTGAGAAGACAGTCTGTCCTTTATAGGATCTCAAGTCCTGAGCTGTGAGCTCCATTGTTCATTTAGAGCTGCTGGGCAGGTAGGTTTAACTCTGCTGTAGCAGAACTCATAAACGTCTTTTTTCACCCCCAGGTGCTCTGTCCTGGGGAGTTATGGCTTTATAGTTTCTGTCATACTGCTGCCTTTTTTCAGGGCTTCCCTGTCTAGCAAGGAGGCAGCCTAGTCACAGTCTGCCTGCAGAGGCTTTGCTGAGCAGCTGTGGGCTCTGCCTAGCTGCCGTGAGAACTTTCCTGCAGTATTGTTTATATGGGTATAGTTAGAACTGCCTCGGTGATGGAGGCCCACCTCTGTGATGGTGGACTCTTACTATAATGGCGGGCTGTCTCGGCAATGGCGGACTACCTCTGTAGTGGCGGACTGCCTCGGTAATGGCAGACACCCCTCCCCCACAGAGCCAGACCATCCCAGGTTTACCTGTGCTTGCTGTGAAACTCCCCATCCAGAGCATTTCAGATTGCTGGTTTTTTGTGGGGGTGGGATCATCTGAGCCTGATCATCTGGCTCCCTGCCTCAGACCCCCCTTTTTGTTTATTTTGGTTGAATGGGCGACTCTGTCTCCCAGGTGTTCCAGTCACCTGTTGAAAAGGCACCTGGATCTGTGTGATTTTCCACGCAGTGACCCACTGTGCCAGCTGAAACAGCCACGCAGAGATTCCTGGCACTTTTTTGCCTGGAAATCTGGCATGGCTCCCTGTTTCAGTCCCCTTTTTATCTGTTGAATGGGAGACTCTGTCTCCCAGGTGCTCCTATTGCCAGCTAAAACAGCGCCCAGACCTATGTGTTTTGTGCAGAGATTCGCCATGCTGGCCAAAACAGCCAAGCTGGCGACCCGTGGGGCTCCTCTGCCTGGGAATCTCCTGGTCTGTGGGCAATAAAAATCCATCTGGAAATGTGGTGTCCAGTCACCCTCCACGCTTTCGCTGGGAGCTGCAATCCTGAGCTGCTCCTAATCAACCATCTTGGATCCGTCTTCCACATTTCCTGTTTTCTTCTGGAAGCTGATGGTTTATCAACTTGGATAAGAGTGGCTGAAGTGGGGATGGAGAGAACTGGGGATGGAGAAAAGTGGGTGCTGTAGGGCTTGCGGCTGCTCCCTATCTCCCTGCCCTGGCCCTGTGTCTGTGGCGACCTACTCTCCTCCATGGGGCCTTTATCTGCTGCTCGGCCTTTCTGCTGTCCACCTTCTTTCTTCTCCTCTCCACAACTGCCTGTTCCTGCGCTCCACACCCAGATGGGTGGCCCCAACCTCAGCCTCTATGGCCCAAACTGATACTTCTCCAGTTGGAAGAGGACCTGGGCTAGCTTTCCTCTCTGCCCAGTGCAGCCATGCCTTGTGGGGAAGACCAGCCACCACTAGGGCACGCTGCCCGGCCACACAGACTGGTGTTGCTGCTGCCCTGTGATGCCCTGCTGGTGAGGGGCATTTCCAGTTCTGTGTTGAGATGCAGCCTGCTCTGCCTCAGGTCCCCTCAGCCACAGAGCACCCCCCCACCAGATGGGCCCTGACTTGGGAGACTTGAGCACAGAGTGGGGGATCACACTGTCCTGGGTTTCAATCCTGGCTCCTCTATTAGCCAGGTGACCAGGGCCACTGAATACAGCTGGGCAGGTTGTGAGCTGTACAAGGCACTCACTCAGCCAAGAGGGCACATGGGGGCTGAAGTCCAGCCCACCCCCACCAACTGCCAAGCCAGTCTCCCTGACCCAGGCTATATTCATCTGGAGGGCGGATTCTTGGAAAGGAATTGTATGGGCCAGCAGTGCCCTGCAGGAGGCCAGCTCCCTCATCTGTGAAATGGGCATTGGTGTGCAGTGTAACGCGTGGCCTGGTGAGTGCTATAGTTGTTATCACGGCCTCTCCTGGGAAGCCCTCCTGGATTTGCCATCAGAGTCCCATAGGACCTTGCACTGATGCCTCTCTGCTTCTCAAGGGTCAGGCTTGGCATCTCCAAGCCCAAGGCCAGGTCCCTGAGGTGAGCCAACCCAGCCCCCGATCTCATCCAGCAGCCAGATCCTAGGTGAGGCCTAGGCTGGAGCAGCCTGGGAGAGCAGGTTTGGAAGTAGATGGAGGTGAGGCCCCCATATGGTGGGGCCTTCTGGGGCCCACACGAGTGCTTAAAGCTCACACATCTTGTTCCCAGCCCCTCTCCGCTGGTCCAGGACATATCTTGCCCCTGGGCACTCAGGGTCACCTGGAGGCAGCCCTAAGAGTCCTTTGATGGTTGTGTGTAGGAACCCCTGGACAGGAGCCAAGACTGATCTGAGGTGGGGGAAGTGGGCAGGAAAGGCCTCACAGGTGGTGCTCAGAAAACAATGGTGAAGCAGGAGGGGCAGACTGTGGCTGCAAGTGCAGAGGCCTGAAGTAAGGCAACACCTAGAGAGAGGGGGCCTGACCGGGCAGGACAGAGGGGCCGGGACAGGGGAAGCAAGGTGAGTGCTGGGAGGGCCGCATGGCAGGCCCCAGGAGGAGAGACGGTTTTATTCTAAATGTGGTGGGGCTGGGATGGATGAGGGCCCTGGCCACCCAGGACTGGAGTCTCTGAGGACAGGTCTGGAACGTGGTTTGTCTAGCATAGCAAAATGGCTAGGGCCCTGGGAAAATGAGTGGATTGAAACTATCCCCTGGCTACAGTGTGGCAGTTGGGGACTGTGAGGAAGCTGGTGCCACCCTTTGGGCAACTTGTGGGCAGCTGGGAGAGGAGGGATGGGGATGCCACCAACGCCTCCAAGACCTCTGCGCGCCCTCCCCCAGCTCCTGCCTGCTCAGGCTGGTCCCAGAGTCCTGACCCTGCTATCTCTTCCCAGGTCGAACTCTCCCGTCCCCACCTTGCAGGAGGACACCGACAGCGATGGGGAGGTGAATGGCCCAGTTCTGGGCTGGAATTCCGAAGCTGCCCCTCACTTGTCCTGTCCCCACCCCTGCCCCTCTGGCGCTGTCCCCAGCCAGGTCCTGCCAACACCTGTGGGTTGCAGGAGCCCCAACTGTACTTCACGGAGCCCCAGCAGCTTCTGGATGTCTTCAGAGAGCTGGAGGAGCAGAACCTGTCACTGATCCAGAACAGGCAGGAGATGGAGGAGACATTGGAAGAGCTGAGCCACACCCTGAAACATACCCAGATCCGCATGTAGGTGCAGGGGGTCCCCACCATGCTCATCGTGGAACCCCCAACCCCCAGCACTAGAGCTGAGCTGGGGCATACCCCCCATCCCTGTTCATGGCCCTGGCCTTGCCCAGGTTGCCTGAAAAGCTCCATCTGTTTGTGGGCTGAATCCTGGAGACAGGGTGGCAGAGCTGGAAGTGGGCAGTGCCCAGGTGCCCATGCCCACACTGGAGCAGCCCATGGCTAGAGCCAGGCCTCTCCAAGGACCTCCCACCCTAGGCGCTTTCTGCTACTACCAAGCTCCTGGGAGGCCCTTGGGGTGGCTGGAGGTCCACAGGGACCCTGACCCCCTAGTTCCTGAGTTCCTGGCAGCACTAACATACTTTGCACAGGCACCCAAAGCAGTCATTTGCTCAGAGGGCCTGGAACTGCTGCTGCTTCATAATCTGTCACAGACCACTGAGTGGGTGTTCATGGCACCGAACTGGGGAAGGCCAAGCCACCTGTGGGCTGCTGTGAAGTGTGTACCCAGCTGTTGCTCAGCAGCATAACAGGGACAGGAGTGGCTGCAGCCCTGAGCAGGAGGACTTGGGTGTGGTCGGTGCCATCCTGAAGGCTGGGGCCAGGTGGGGCTGAGACAGGCAGGGATGGGTGAGGGCCATGTGGCCACCCAGGATTGGGGCCTCTGGGGACAGGCCTAAAACACAGCTTGTCCAGCATGGCAAAGTGGCTAGAACCTTGGGAAAATCCCAGCCTTCCAATTCCAGCCAGAGAGGCAGCAGGAAAAGTCTGGTATTGCCCAGCTCTCACCTGGACCCCACCTGAGGCTGTTATGGTTCCTCCTGCTGGGTGTGGCCACTCAGTCCCCTGCAGGGTACCCGGCTCCAGGAGAGCTGGGCAGAGCAGGGTCAGCCTGGGGCACCAGTGAGGCACATTCAGAGCAGGGAATCCTCCACTCCACTCAATCCCCGAATGCTGCCTATGCATCCATTCTGGGTCAGGCCCAGGTCTAAGCTCTGCAAGGAGAAAGCAAAGCCCTGCCCTCGTGCAGTTGACCTTTAATGGCAACAGACACAACAAACAGGTCCACAGATGTGACTTGTGGATACTGATATGTTCTAGGAGGAAAATCTATTTGAGAATGAGGGCTAAAATGGAGAGTGACAACAGATGAGAGGGGCAGGGAAGGCTTCCAGGTGTCAGGACTAACTTCCCAGAGTGGGAGGAAGGCCAGTCACACACAGGCTGGGCATAGAGGGTCCCAGGCAACAGAAACAGCAGGTGCAAAGGCCATGAGGTGGGAGCCTGCTGAGGCTTAAGTGTTCCATGGGGGAGCCATGCTCCCGAGCACCCATGTCCCATTGATGCAGTGTGGTAATCTCCAAAATGACATGAAACTCTCACCCTCAGGCAAGACTATGTGCCCTGGAAAGCTGGGAGGTGCCGCACACAGAGGAAGACGAGTTGGGAGAGGTGGGCAGCCTCCCAGGTTCCCAGATAATCTGGCAAGAAGACAGGTTCCTCCTCCAACACATGCATGCAAGCATAAACCAGAATGCTGGACGTGACATCCAAAAGCTGGTCTTCGGCCAGCCAAGCCATCCCTGAGAGCATCCACACTTTGTTTCCAGAGGAGTCGCAGCCAATGTGTATTTAACTTCCATGAACTCGGCTATCTCTTTTCAGAAAAAAATCAAAATACAGTTTTAAAAATATATAAAACAAATAGATAATCTGAGTAGGCCTATATCCATTAAAGAATTTAAATCAATAACTAATAGCCTGACAAAAAGGAAATCCCCAGGCCCAGATGGGTTTGCTGGTGAATCTACAAAGGAAGAATTTCATCTAAGGAAGAAATTACACCAGTTCTCTACAATCCCTTTCAGAAGTTAGGAGCAGAGGAAATACTTCCTAACCCAGTCTGTGAAGCCAGTATGACCCTAATACCAAAACTAGGCAAAGACATTACAAGAAAGGAAAAGTAGATACCAATCAACATCCTGAGGACCTCATTCCACCATCTTGCTGATGCTATTCCTCTGGTTGTATCTTTAAATTCTTTTCAATCTATAGGTTTCCTTTGTTTTCCCCCTTGCCATCCATTTGTTGAAGAAACCAGACAACTTTTCCTATATTGAAGTGCTTCTCAGACTTTATGTGCAGTTGAATCGCCCAGGAATCTTAAAAGGAAGTTTCTGATTCAACAGGCATGGGTCAAGGCCTAGGACTTTATTTCTGACACACTTGCAGGTGATGCCCAGGTTGGTCTGAGGACCAACTCTGAGCAGCATGTCCCTTGTGCATCTGTTTATTACAGTTGAAAGGTGAGTGTTGAAATTCTACTACTAGATATATAAAATGCTAAGGTGTCCTCACAAAAACCTGTACATGAATGTTCATAGCAGCAATATTCCCAAGAGCCAAAAGGTAGAAACAACCCAAATGCCCATCAAAGGATGAACGGATCAACAAAGTGTGGCCTATGCATGCAATGGAAGAGTACTCAACCATAAAAAGAAATGAGGTGCTGACACATGCTGCAACATGGATGGACTTGAAAATATGCTGGGTGAAAGCAGCCAGTCCAAAGGAAACATGTTGTGTGATTCAATTTTTATGAAGTGTTCAGGGTAGACACAAAATAGATTTGTGGTGGCGTAAGACCAAGGGATAGAGGGGACAATGAGAAGTGACTGCTAATGGGCACAGGGTGATGATAATGTTATAAAATGGTAATGGTTGTGTAAACTCCTTGAATATACCAAAAAATACTGACTTGTATATTCTATGATAATTTTATTGTCGGTGAATTATGCCTCACTAAAACTGTTTATTTTCTTTAATGTTGATGGTTAAATATTTTAAAATCCCCCCTGCATTCTGCCAGCATTTTTGACTCTCTGGACATGCAGAGACTTGGCACCTATGATCCTTCAGTCCTCAGGATAGCTGTTAGGGGCAAAGCACCATATAGATTGTCAGGCTCAGAGAAGCATTGTACCCAGGGCCGTGCTGAGTGAATAATTACCTGCTTGTTTCCCACTCCTCCAGGGACAGGGAGGTCAACCAGCTGAAGGAGTGGGTCACCACGATGATGATGTCCATCACCAAGGAGGAGGACACAGCAGCAGAGCTGGAGCTCAAAGCCCGAGTCTTCCACTTTGGAGAGTACAGGGGAGATCAGCAGGTAGGCTGAGGATCGAGGTGGCCAGAGGCCCACGGGAAGGAGGAGCCCTTGGGTACCCACTGAAGGAACCCTGACGGCCTCTAAGAAGATGCAGGGCAAGGCCGAGGTGAGTGCTCTGCAGCTGCCCTTGCCCTGCCTGCCTCCAGGAGCCACCACATGTATCCATGCCCGTGCCAGCCAGCTTGGTTGCCCCTATACCTCATTCATTGCTTCATTCTTTCATTCAGTAAATTTGTCTGCTTCTTAAACACATATATTGTGCCTGGCAAGGTGATCCTGAAGGCGAGGAAGAGGCATGTCCCCAAGCCAGGCTGAGAGGGTGACAGAATTAGGAGAGAACAGAAATCCAGTGGTGTTCTGAGCAGCAGAAGCCAGGGACTGGCCAAGGGCTCAGCCTGCTCCCAACCTGACAGCACACTTGGGGCCACCCTGGGCATGGGGTGGCTTCCTACTGTCAAGCACCGGCTGCGTGCCAGGCACTGGGCCAAGGGTGTGGGATGCAGCCGTGAGCAAGACAGCGCTCCCCTGACATAGCTAGAGTCCGGGGTCACTAGTTGTGCCCAGGTTGGGCTGAGCTGCCTGCTTGCTGCTCCTCTCCTCACACAGCCCTGTGGAGGGGCTATTACCTGTTTTCTTTTTTTGTTGAGACAGAGTCTCACTCTGTTGCCCAGCCTAGAGTTCAATGGCGCAATCTCAGCTCACTGCTACCTCTGCTTCCTGGGTCCGAGTGATTTCCCTGCCTCAGCTTCCCAAGTAGCTGGGATTACAGATGCGTGCCACCACGCCTGGCTAATTTTTGTATTTTTAGTAGAAACCAGGCTTCACTATGTTGGTCAGGCTGGTCTTGAACTCCTGACCTCAGGTGATCCACCCACCTCGGCCTCTTAAAGTGCTGGGATTACAGGCATGAGCCACCATGCCCAGCCTGTTACCTGCTTTCTAAGTATTAGAACAGGCTCAGAGGACATGGCTCTGTTGGGAGCTGAGATCAATGCAGGGCTTCCTGGTGGAGGGGACTGGGCCCTGTTGGCTCATCAGAGCCAGCTGGGGGAGGGGCTGGAACCAGGGATCTGGCTGACTCCAGGGGGCCTACAGGGATAGGCTGCTCTGGCTAAGAAAAGCCAGTTCCCCAAGTTCTGTTTCAGCCCATGTTCTCAGAGCCCCCGCTGTGTGCCAAGCAGGCAGCCCCACAATGGGAGATCAGCAGGCCACCTCCAAAGGCACTGATATTGGGGTGGGTTTCAGCCTGCTAGCCCCCTGCTGGAAGCCTCCTCTTCCACAGGATAAGTTGCTACAGAGCCTGAACCGCAAGGTGCTGGATGTGTACCGGCACTGTGTCAGCACCCAGCAGGAGGCCAACCTGGGCACCGTGCAGATGCTGACCGTCATCGAGCACCAACTGGATGAGCTGCTGGAGAACCTGGAGCGTGTGCCTCAGGTCAAAATCGAGCAGGTCGAGAGGGCCAAGGAGAAGGAGCGGCGCATCAGGTGAGCTCTAGGCCTACCCTGCCAGCTGCTGAGTGCAGGCTGGCCTTGAGGGCAGACAGTACTACAGGCCCCACCCTCAAAGCACTCCGAGGAGACAGGCCCCCGTGCCCCGTGCGTGCTATGAGAGACAAAAAGCGGGTCTTGGGGGGATCTAGTGGGGCATCACACTCAACTGGGGGGTGGTTAGGGAAAGCTTTCTAGAGCAAAGGACAGTGACTTGATGTGGCCAGGAGGCTCAGGGAGGGACAGGGTCTAAAAGATGGAAGAGCTGGAGCTCAGTTAGTGTGGCCAGCATGGCCAGCCTCAAGGACATAGAGCAGCAGTGGAGAGATTTAAGCAGTGGGGCAAACACAGCCAGGTAAGGTGTGGTTAGATTCTTCCTTCTGGATCTGGACTGGAGGGGCAGGAGGCTGAGGGGGAGGGCAGCTGCCAGCACCTGGGAAGGAAGGCACGGCTGCAGCAGTAGGTTGCCAGAGCAAAAGATAGGGTGCAGGGACTCAGGGAGCCCTGGGAACTTCAGCTCTGAGGGGAGTGGAGGGCGCAGATGGGCACCAGCTTGCCATGTCAGGACACTAGCCTGGACCCAAGGTAGATGGGGGCTGTGGCTTCCCTGGCCTGTGGGCAGCCTGGTTCATCCATCCTGTGGAGGGTCATGAAACAGGGCAATCTGCAAACACACATCCATCCCCCACAAGCACAGGGGCTTCTCCTCTGGGTTCCTGGTACCCTGCTCGGAGTGGGCACTAGGCCAGGCTTTGATGACTGGGAGTACACACAGGAAGGACAGGACTCTTGCCTGAGGGAGATGCTGGACCTTCATGGTGGCAAGGGAGGCTGCAGATGCACAGATCAGGCCATGGGTGTAGATTCAGGGAAATGAGCCTCTGGGAGAGGGGTCTGCTGGATGAAACTTAGATCAGCCCTTGAAACTTAGATCAGCCCTTGCGGGATGCCAGAGCCAGGGCCTTGGAGCAGCAGGACCCTGCCTATCCTCTGGGCCTAGGCCACCGTGGCCAGAGCAGTGGTGCTTTGACTATGGATAGGTATTGAGGCCTTGACCTGGCAAGAGAGGTGAAGAGGAGCTGGGAGTTTTCAGTCCTCACGGCCTGACCTGGGGACTCCGTGAGGAAATTACTCAACACCCCCCAGAGCCCCCTCCCGCCCCACAAGTTTTCAGTGTTATCTCTTGCTGCCCAGACTTCGAGAAGAGAAGCTCCAGATGCAAAAGATCCTGCAGGAGGAGCGTCTGCAGCGGGCCCGGGCACGTGCCCAGGCTGAAATCAAGAAAAATGTAGGCAGGGTCGCCTGGGGGTGGTCTCTGCTGGAGGGGGTCCCAAGACAGCCTGGCAACTGAGGTCCTACAGCCCAAGCCCCTAACGCCTCTATTCTGAAGGCTATCACTGAGGCTCTGAGGGAGACAGTCTGCTTTAAAACCGAGGCCTCTCCTAGGACCTGCTTCCTGTAGGGGTCCCTTCCCCCAAGCTGCCAGCCTATGGCCCATGGAGGGCTGAGACTGGTTTGGCCATGCCCGCCCACCCCAGTCAGGTACACCCTGCTCAGGAGCAGGGTCCCACCACCCTAAACACACTCTGGCCAGACCCCAAGCCCTGCTCACTACCTGTCACTTGGGTCCCCCTACTGTTGTGTCCCAAGGCCTCCACCCTTCCTGCCCTCTGACCCTAGCAACAGGAGGCAGGTCACCCTGCACCCACATCTAAGAGGTGGTGCTCCAGGGACCAGGTTTGCTCAATGCCGGGGAGACTCACACCCCTAGTTATTTCAGTTAACTCTAGCCCTCAGCCTGCAGGGCTGACCAGAGTGGTCTGGAGCCGACTGGAGCTGCTGGGTCTCTCCCTGTGCCAGGGGCAGGGGTGTGTGGGCATACATGCCTCTGGGCAGCGAGGCTCACTGGGCTTGTCTCCCCTGCAGAGAGGCAGGACACTGGTGCGCCGCTCAAAACCTCCAGCCCACAAGATCAAACAAGAGTCTGAGCACATGCTGATGGACAAGGAGAAAGAGGAGCTGCTATTTTTCTTTACTTAATCTTCACAAACCACAGCTAGGTTCTGGCGTAAGGCTTAGCAAAGATGTTGGCAGTGGAGGCAAAGACTGGGCTGGGTATTGAGTGGCCCAACTGAGCCCTCTCCATCTCCTGTGTGCTCCCCTCCTCACCTGAATAAATTCATGTCTCTTTGGAGTCTTGAAGGCCTGTTTAAGGAAGTAGCCACTTTTGCCAAATTTCAGCATCCCCGTTTTCATCATTTAGCCCTAAGCAGTGCTTGAGGGCAGGAGCATGACACCTTGGTCCTCATCTAAAACAGCTGCTCTGCAAAGCAAAAGCTGATTCCATGCTGGGTGTAGTGTGAAATCAGCCTCTGTGCAAAAGACCAAAGAAACACAAGCAGGCAGCTAGGCATATGGTAGGTAGGGCCAGAGCTACCAACTGAAGGAGAAACAACAGGCTGAACGCCATATATGCAGCTACTCGAATCAAGCCAAGGTAAAAAAAAAAAAAAAAGCCTTTAGTGCATGACTACACAACACCTTTCATTCATTTGCACTAGGAGTTGGGCCCGTCACCAGCAGGGAATCTCAGTGCCCAGAACACCGGGTGCCAGTCCCAGTCACTTTGTGGTGGCGTTCCCAGGGAGGTGCATGGGAGAAAAGTAGAGGCCCAGAGGGCATTCCTGGGGACACACCCTGCATCCCGATGGAGATTGGATGGGTGCGGCTCCACCCGCTACGCCCATGGCCAAAAGCCTGGAGGGAGGACGACTCTGGGCCACCCTGAGGCTAAAGAGCCTGCCAGGGTGGGAGAGTTCTGGCCTCGCCTTAGTTGGTGACAGAGCACAGGTCTCTGAAGAAGACCCGTTTGCAGATGAGGTGTGGATTATTCCATGTGGAAGAGCACCTGGGACAGCACCTCAGAGTGGGATGAGACGGGGAGTACTCACTCAAATTTGGTGTCAACCCCAAATCCAAGAAACAAAGAAACGTAGGGCAGAGTTTCAGTCTGAGAACCAGAATGGCCTCTGAATGAACACATACTTCAAAAGGCACGA